CCCGGTCACTTCCTCAAGATTATGCGAAGTCGCAAAACATATAAGATCGGATTTATCTGCGAGCTTGAATCTCAGGTCGTTCGTTCGAATTGATAGTGAACTTCGTTGCATCTGTAACGCATTTAAGTCACTCCGCTCCGATCCAGATTCTTTAGGATTTTTGGAAACTAATTTTGTACATCGTATACACGCGCCAAGAATAATATCGTAAAGCTTCGTTTTACCTCGCTCGAGTCACGACACGATTCGGATCGGGCGATTCTCGCCTACGAATCCGTACAGCACCCGGTACATATCGATCTGCCTTTCCGCTATAGCGTAGCCCGGGGCGCAGTCTTGGCGGTAACCTTGAACTTTAACCTCGACATTAGCGATCGGTCACGGGAGTCGCGCTCGCCGTATCGCGATCCACCCACGATCGATGCGGATGATCGATTCTGCTTGTATGATTGAGAACAATCGAGCGACGCCGGTAGAACGCGGAACAAACGAGTCCGGGACGCGCGAGGGAGATCTGGTTAGACTCGTTAGACGATTAATCAGTCAGATCGGAGTATCTAGATAAGAAGTCAATCGGAAATTAGAAGCTCCGTTAAATTCGAGTCATCCACATTAAATTGATATTTTCGATCCGACGGTTTCCACGTCAAAATCGCGCGAGTTCGATATGAGAATTCTCACACGATTGAGGGCTACCATAAAACCAACGTATTATACAGACTTACTCCAACTTTGCCTCGCGATATTGATCTATCTGTTAAGGCACTCCCGTGGCCAATTGACATGACCGGCAACCTTGCCGCATGACAAGTGCAATGACAACGGCTCTAATCGCACGCACATGAACACACACACACGCACGTGTCGGTCCGTGCATGTGCATTTCGTGTAATTGCCTGATGCATTACGTAAGTCGCGGTCTGTCGCGTCCTGTCTCTCTCTTTCTCCCTCTATCTCCCGAGAGTTAGCGAGCCGGCGTCGATCGCGAGACAAGACAATCGCATTTCCTGCGTGCGTGTGTGTCAAGGTCGCGAGCGTGTGCGTGCGGATCGCGCCGATCGCCGCGCGAAAGAACGCCGGGCTGTTATTTCGAGATCGCCGCGCGGCGCGAAAGAGTAACTGCATAAAAGCCGATGATAAATATTTTTAGAGGCTCTCGCGTCGTGTCAAGAGGACAGGCGTATTTTTTAGCCGTCTAGAGAGACCACCGACGCATTTTTTATAATTTTTTTTTTTTTAATAATCTTGTAACGCGACCTTGATAACATCACTTGATTATTTAATATCGAGTTTCTCGTCTCGTACACACGTCGCGCGTAATTTCATGCTAATTATTCCCGGTGGCGGTATCGCTTCCGCGCGGTCAGATTTTCACGGTCAGATAACGATCGAGCGCATATTTTAGAGAATACCGTTCGCCCACGAACATGCGCGACACGGTGCGTCGCGCGTAAACGTTGTTCGAGGTCCTCCTCAGCTTTCACGTAGCGCGCATTCATCTCCGTCCGTCCGTCTTTCTTTTCCCTTTCCCCCCTCTCTTTTCTTGTCCTTTGTTTTACAATCGTGAGAGGAAAGCGAAATAAATTATCGAAAAAAGCGAGATTTATGCCCCAATCCGGCATTATCCTCTCTCGCGTACGAACGAAAGCGACAGTGGGGAACGCTTCGACCGGAGGGACATGTCGGCGAAGTCACCGACACGCCGCGCACTTTTTGCGCGGTCTCTTCGACGGGCGCTTTTTCCTCGCGAGCGAAGGCCGGCCAGCGTCGGGTCGGGTCGGGTACGGGAGTCAGCATAATTCGTCTTCGCGCTACTCCGCGAGATATCCCGCGGGAGAGGAGACTCCCGAGGGAGGGACTGCCGCCCGCGAATCCCTGGCAGGGCGGTTTCTCGACCGGCGGCGACCTCGGGAGGGCAAAAGTTCTCTCTTTCGCCCTTCTCCGTCTCTCTGTCTCGCTCTTTGGGTCGGGGCTTTCTCTTCGGATTCTTCTTAAACGCGCAAAAAGCGTAAAATACGGTTGTCTGCGCCGACGGGTCTTCGGTCTCGACGGTTAACTTCAACGTTGCTTCTTCTCGCTCACCTCTCGCAGCTCGTCGAATAATCAGACATTCGAATTACACGGAGTTATCCGCTTTGCCCAACTCGGAGCAAGTTTTAATCGATTCGGAATACTCCGAATATAATATTCCGACGTTTCCGAGCGATCGAACGGCAATGTACCGAATCGTATCCGATACAATCCAATTCAATTGGTCATGAGTACCGCGCGGTGTTACGTCTCCAGCTTCTCCTCTTTCGGCACTCGCGTCCTATCCGATCCGTTCTCCGCGCGGTAACAGGATAATTTGACGAACGACAGAGAAAGGACGCCTCTCAGTCGAGAGACGGCCACGCTCGGTTGTTTTGCAATCCGGGCCACGGTAAAAATTAAAGCGCTGCTTAAACCCGTGACTAATTGCACGCGTCACGGCTGGCACACTTAAAGCGATTTTTCTCGAATCCTCGTTTCATCGTGTTCCGAAGAAGCGTACCGAAATTACCGTCGATCGTCGAGGCGCTTATAATCTTGTTATTTGTGGAGAAAAATATTTTTAAATTATTTGCTGCAAAATATTCGATAGCAGGGAAAATAATTGTTTACGTTAGCAGAGAAAATTGTTTCGCGATTTTACGTTTCGCAGTTGGATCCTGCTGCGATTAATCATACAGGTAGCTGCGCGGTAATGACGGTCCAACTTTTTGATCGGTGATAGAATCGAACAGATAACGTCGCGCATTCGAAATCGGGATCATGAATAAGTCAGCCGATATAAAAGATTGCAATAATATCGTGGACGTTTATCGCGGTAAAAAAAAAAATACTCGTTATGTGCATTAATAATAATAAGCTGAGTAAATGCGCTGTGAAATATATTCCGCGTAAATGTTTCTCCAAATTGACGGCTTTGTTAAAATGTGATATTTTTCCTTCTGGCTGATACGGTGTTTGTTCTCTTTCCATTTTTTCTTTGTCACTTATTTTAAAATATTCTTGACGACGAAATATTCTAGCCACTTTTCATACAATTTACATCCTTCATGGTGACATAAAAATATATCTTATAATTTATAATAATAGATATAATCTGAATTTATATGGATTAAAAAGAATGTGAAAGCAAGTTTGGATTGGGGCCGTAATTAAGAATGTGACTTAATGCGCTGTTACCTCAAGCCCTTCACTAGAAGGGAACATGAGCTACTTGTCGGTGAATGCCGTGGGATTCAAGGTCGCAGTACGATTCGGTGAAAGATTTTTTCGTCGGTTCACGTTCGTCGTTATCCCTTCCTACTCCTTGAAAACCGCTCTTCTCTTTCTGCTGTAGAATAGTTAAGCAACCGGTCGCGCGGTCGATCACGAACGAACCAAAGAAGTGCAGTGAGCAACCATACCAAATCGATACCAAAAGAAGGAGTTTAGAGCTCGAGCGAGGGAGGGAAGGACAAGGTGGAAGAGGCAGGACTTCTTTTCGCGAGATGACGCGGTGCGGACGAGGCGAGGGTTCCGTCTGAAAAGAAAACGAAAGGGTTCGAATCGCGGGGTGGCGGTGTGTGCCACGGGGGGAGGAGGGGTGGTGGTGGTGTGCGTGCGTGTGAAAAGGTCGGCAAAATAAATCGGTCCACGGTGACGAGTGAAAGTAGATCGGGCAGGCAGCCGGGCAAGATGATGAAGAAGGAGAAGCCGATGATGTCGGTGACGGCCATCATCCAAGGGACTCAGGGAGCCCAACACTGGGCACGTGGCAACGCCTCCTGTACGTATATATATACGTTAACATTCTATGTAATTGATGTTTGACGTCGATCGATCGTCGAGCATTAACTTTACGGATCGCGGCAGACGATACCGCGATCCGGATGGGGGAAAAAAAACCCGCTAAATTACTATCATTATTTGAAGGCACGTTTGTGAATTATTTACGCGCGGCCATTAGTCTTTAAGAGAATATATCGCTCAAGAATATTTAATAGCGTCTCAAGAACGTATAATATGATCCTATAATGAAATTACACGGCGCTTGTTACGTATTATAGTTATATGAGCGATCGTTAGATCTCTATTTTTAATTAAGATCAGCAAATGAGTCGTGCGGATGAAACCGGGACAAGGAGAGTCAAGGCACGGATTTTTGTGAAGGTATATACGTGCAAGTTTCAGGCAAGGGAAAACTTTTGTTAGATATTTCGAATTATTTAGCGAAATTCCAGGTATAATTGCGTGTGATATATAAGTACGTTGCTTGGACGACGACACGCTCATTAAAAGTAATTTAATATTGATGAGATCACCGACAATGAGAGATCGCTGACGTTGATGAGTCAGCCGTATATTTTTCTCGCATAATACGTGATTTAAATTGATAAAAATTCCGCGTTTCATTAGCGCTTTGTGGATTGCGAATGCGATTGACCTCGCGCGATTGTTACCTCGGGAGGAAAATCGTATCTCTGCAACGAAGAAAGCGGGGTAATGTTATTTCGACTATATACGATTTTACATAACGAACTTTTTATAATAGAGTCATTAAATGCATTGAAGCGAACCGAAATGAGATGTATTATAGTTTTTTTCGCGGGCTATCATGGCCGTGCTAATTAACGCTTTATGACCTCCAAAGTACCGGTGCTGAATTGTAACTTTAAGAGTACCTAAACGAGATGGACTATCCTACGAATAATAATTAGCGTGTCGGTGCTAGACTGCCGATTAGCACGATCTCAAGGTTCAGTTTTGCTCCATCATAATCGACAAACCCGCTCGTCGTTTTGAAACGTTATTTTTCTCCGCGTAAAATCCAAAACGATATTCGCGCAAACAATTAATTCTGTGTAGTTCCTATTGCAGCGAACAAATAGATCGAAATAAAATGTCTTTGTCTTCCTAAAAATTATTAGCGCGGCTTACGATACTCGATTAGGGCTGGAAATGTTTATTACAGTTTAAAAGTCGCTGGATACGAGATGCGTATTGAAAGAGAACGGAGATTTTGGATTCTGTTTCTATCGAGTCGAGCGTACACACAATACGTACCGCTCTTGAATTAGCGTGTCGTATCCGTCGCGACGCGTTGCTCTCGAGCGAAGTGAGTCACCCGGTTCGTGCGATAGCCTGCCGTCCTACACCGAAGCGACCGATACGCGCCGCACGGCCGACGCATATACATCGTATGTAGATGCTAAATGTACGGGGTGAAGGTCGGCTATTGAGACGTGAATGGCGCAATTTGCGGCTGCGACGGCGACCGCGACGGCGGCGGCGGCGCGCGGCGGTAGCGAGCGAGCGAGCGAGCGGAGCGCTCGTTATCAGTCAGCCGCTTCTAAAAGCGGCCTTAGAGCGGGCTTTAAAGCTCGCGAACGCGAGCGAGCGGAGGAAGGTCACGCGAATGCGCCCCGTTATCAGGCGCCCACGGACGCGATTTACGAGCCGCGTTTTCGAGCCTTATCGCATGTGTGTCCCTATTGCCGCGCAACACGCGCGCGCGCGCGTCTCGTTCCTCCGCGGACGCGCGTTGCGTTCTCGGCCGCCGGAATCGGCAGCAGCACGCGAACACGGGGAACTTTTCGCACGAAACGTAAACATCGCGGCTCGGCGGGACCGGTATGGAGATCGATGCCCCGGGAAAAATTGATACCGCCCCGAGAACTGACCAAGTCAACGTCGCGGCGACGAAGTCTCGTTGCACTGGTTCTCTGATAACATTTTTTTTCTCTCTCTCTCTCTCTTTTTCCATCCGGACACTCTGCTCCAAAAGCAGATCAAGATTGCTGCGAGAATTTTGAAGCATTATTCTTATACCATTCGTTCGTTATTATTGGATTACTCATTAATTTTTTTATCTGATTATTTTCTCCCTATTATTGTCAACGCCATGATCGTACGAATCTTCGACGATTCGGTTGGAAAAAGTAGTCGCAGGATCAGATAATTCCACCCCGGCCGACGAAATTCATGGTCGCGGATCTGATCGCGATCGATCATGCCGTTGACAGCCGCTCGTCTCACATTTAGACGAGAGCTCGTCTGTTTGCCGAACGGCGCGAAATTGCTCTACACGTCTGTCTGCGTCGTCGGCTTTATCGGATAAGACACCGCGCTCTTTTTCCTTATCGTTCACGATGCACCAGGTAATACCTCGCGGAAAGATAAAAAAAAAAGAGCACGATAATAATACGCGGAACGAGGAGATATCGCGTGCATTATCAGCCGGTCAATGCGCGCCGTATCGCGTCGAAACGTCGATCAATCATCATCGTATCCGCGCCGTCACGTCAGATTACGAATGCGACGCGTCCGCCGAAGTTACACGCTTGATTTCCCGCGGCCCCGACTCGTTTCTCTTTTAAAAGCCTGTGGGACATCGCGACATTCCTTCGCGATCTCGTCTAATGTAACGCGAGGCAAATCGTCCTCGTTTCGTCCCGTCGACGATGGGCGTTAACATTTATGATGACGTTTGCCTTACCTTGACGGCGTTTGAGCTATAGCCGACGATTACCATCGATCTGATGTCGCGAATCGCGCCGTTTAGGACGGACGAGGGAGCTAATTGCATCCTCGCGATCGGGCACGATTATATGTGACGTTTACTATTTATCGCGACGTAACCGCGGCCGCGCCGCCCACGAGTGGCATAGTTCCAATATGGTCGGTCGTGGAGATGCAATTGCATCGCGGGCATCTTGAGGATGATTTCAGTGCCGGGACGTCGCGTCGTCCTAGAATCGACGAGGGTGGGCTGCGGCTTTGCGATGCTCTTCGTACAACCGATATGCGCGCGCGCACACGGTTGCGTTTTATCGCGGGCGCATTTATCGCCATCGCTCATTCCATATTCTGGAGATAATCGGCGCCGCATTGTTCGCGAGGATAACCGGTATCACCCGGCCACGAACAGAAATATGCTTACTCGCGATTTCTCATTTCGGATTTGCATAACGCTCGTGAGAGCGTCGCGACGCGCGATACATTTGATTCCATAATTAAATATATAGATAGACGGCGCGTAGTTCCGTTCTCGCGATATATATACTCATTACGCGGCATACATTAATTAGCGTGCACGTTTAACGTCGGCGAATATTATATCACGTTAATGAATATCTGCTCGATAAAAGTATCACGCATCGCGATCGTCGCCGATAACGTGCTATTTTTATTGTAAGATTGAACATATTTTGCATTTCGAAATACAAGAAGCTAATTATGCAGGATGCGCCATGAATCTCGTACATGTTGAAAATAATGGTAGGTGGATTATGTAAATAAAAGCCTTTTGTCTGGTCTTTTAATTTGTCCGGTTTTTTTTACGACATTAGTCTCATGGGACATTTTTACATACGTCTTACATCGCGATCCCTCGGCGATGTGTCCCGAATTTCCATATATAAATCTATCGCTAATCTCGCGCTCGAGAAGTGCATGAGAATCCGGGCAACGGCTTGCGCAACGCTTACAGCCAGATGATACATATAGATAAGAGCGATTCATAGGGAATTGCTCTCGCTTCTCTATCTCTCTTTCTTTCTCTCTCTCGCTTTCTGCAAACCCCGCGGCTGCGTTTGTTTAGCCTAGACCGTCGTCGCCGTCGCTGTTGTCGTCGTCGTCGTCGTTTCCACATTATCGCACACGCGGTTTACGTACGCGTGACTATGCCACGCACACGCATATACGTGCGCGATAAGCTCCGAGCGTATAAGCATCACGCGAGGCTCTCCGCTCCGCACGCAGAGGCCTCGGGCCTGCTCTAGTGCAGCTAATGTACACGGGTGCGATGCAACCTTGGCACCGATGGGAACGAGCCGTGAAGAGCAGGTCCTGCTATCGCGCGTATCGCGTATATGTGTACACGTGTACGCGCGCGCTCGTCGCGTACAACCGCCTCCTCTATTGAATCAGATTCGCTGTGTGTGCGGGTGCGGGACGTTATCTGGGTTTTTTTTCTACGGCGCGCCGTGTGTTTGCAGACGCTTCATTCGGACGGGAAGAAGCCCCACCCCCCTCCCATTTGGGCGATCTCCGACCGTAATCTTTTTACCGCGATCCGAAACGCAAATACGCGCGATCGAACGCGGAACTCGGATAAGAGTGAGAGCGCGTTCCTCAGAATTTCTTTCCACGAGAACGACCGACGTAGCGCGATCGCTAGTTTGTTCAGGCGCGTTGCGCAAAAAGGCGTTAAATTCTAAAGTTATATTTTTTCGCTCCCCGTACAAACGTCGCGTGACGATTGCGATCGGCGGAAGTCCCTCGTCGCTCCGCGCGAGCACGAAACGACGGCGTCGTGCAGAAGGAAGCGATCATTTATTATAGTCACGTTGGCAGGTTTCTCGCGGTGTGGCTACTGACCGAATAGATGTTTCTGATGTCACGTATATACCAGCGGCGCACACTCGTGCGCTTAATATTCCACCGGTGGCCGGCATTATATACGCGCGTGTATTTAATTAATAGGGGGAGGGGAATATTTTACGGCGTTATTATTAATACTATCGCACACTCGCCCGTGAATTTGCCCGATCATTCTGCAGACGGCGGAGAAGTATCTTTCTTTTTTCTTCTTCGTTTAAAATTAGTACTGTCGCACTTTCATTGTCAGTCAGCGACCTATAGCATCGGGTGTCGAAGGCGTCCTAAATTTCTAAATCCATGCCACTCGGAATACTGGGACGCGGGAAGAGAGAGATAGGCGTCGAAATAGCACCCGCGGCGAATAGCAAGCGAAGATACTGTACGAGGTGCATTGCGTCGGGTTTA